TCGGTGCCAGCTATGTAACAGTTACAAAATGTACTTTAAAGGCTTGTTGGAAGCAGGCTGCCAGGGTGAATGAACCAGTCAGTCTGGTCTACTTTGGGCAGGATTTAGGATGCTTAGTTAAATGAAGCTGTGGTCGGATCAGCTGATCCCGTTCTTTGAGTGGGGATATAGTATGCAAACGAACAGACGTGTCTAAGGAGGAAGCGGACAGGAGCTGGGGGAGTGGAGAAGGGATGACTTTCCTCTGATGTCAAAAATCCCATCATTCAGTGCTCGCAGGGAAAAAGACAAGAGGAGAAGAACGTGGAGAAAGAGAGAGGGAGAGAGAGAGAAGAAACGAAGGGAAAGGACACACTCATTTCCCTCCCTCATCATGTAGGCTAATATTGTCCACCCTAATAGGACGGAGAAATGAGCCTGATCCCGAGTGCCAAGTTCTGCACAGCCTTCCAAGCCCCAGGGATTGTTCACAACCCCATCCTGATCTGGACTTGGTTAGTACTGCCTTGGTATGAATAATCAAGTAGATAAAAATTGTCAAGAAAACTTACTGCAGCTTCCTCAGGGCTCTCTTTGTGTTATCTTTTTCTTTCTGGCAATTTTAATGGTCTGATCATTGTTCTGTGTTTCTCAGAGGCGTTAGATATCCAGCTCTGCTAGGATTGCCGCAGTGCTGTGAGAAAGGACCAAAGCTGGCTGTAAGTGAATTAGCTCGAGCCCCAGCCGCAGGAGAGCTGGAGTTGCCTGGAGCTCTGTCCAGGTTGCTAATTCTTCCTTCCGAAGGGGTTGGTTTCAAAAGGTGCCAGATTTGTCTTTTCGTGCCTTTTGCTGTGTGCCGTTGCCTGTAATTAGTTTCTCAACTGGAAAAGCTTTCTCAAGTGGGAAAGACTAAAAAAAAAAAGGAAAGAAAAGGCAGAAAACAACCCCACACATTTTTGGCAATGGGCTGTTTTTCTGAGCAATTAATTAAGCGCTGATTTTAAAAGAATTTGAATGAATCCTCCTTGCACTCGGTGTCAAGCCTGGATCTTGTATTAATCACTTCACTCCTCTCTGACTGAATAAGGACTGAAAGAGATGCAGAGAGTAAAAATTTCCTCAGGAAATGAATCAGACGAGGAACCTATGCCTCATCTCGCCTCCTACAAATGAAGAAAGAGAGGATTTTGTCAATGGTGGGTCAGTTTACAAATATGTCCTTTGCAGCGTGAGTCATAAGTAGTGATACATTTCACAGCAATGCAACCACAGATGCAGTCTAAGTCCAGGACCGAATGCCAGCTAAAGATAAATAGAAATGAATCTTCATGCCTGTAATAGTAATGAGAAGGAAAATGCAACCTGTCAGACCTGCTTGTGTGTCAGCCAGCTCTTGCTGCTTTTTAAACCTGTGGCAAATTCTTGCTCACTTTAATGGGAGCAGAATAATCCCTCGGGATATGGTCCTGTGATTTCCATTTGCTGATAAGCAAGGAAGAGATGTGGGTTTCTACAGAGGCGAGCTGGTAGAGTACCTGCCCTGCTGTGGGCACCTTTAGTTTGCAGCACTGGAGCCCTAAGGAGAGGGGGCAGCATTACAGTACAGTCTCCAATCACATGTGAATGCTGCCAGGTGGGTATCGCCTCATTGCAGGGAGGTGATAAAGGAAGCAGGAGCAGGTTGGAAGCAGCACTGTCTCTGGAGCTGGCTGCAATGTGTTACTAAGGTTGAGGTTCCCACAATGCTGGACAAATATTTAGGGTTTTCTTCCAAAAGCGCCAGCCTTTGTTAGTGTTATAGCTGCTAAGAGATGTGTAAAAACTGTTGTCGTGTAGCTACCATCAAGATTTGTTGTTGTTTCAGTTGTGGGTGAGAGAATGAAACCTAGCAGAAAATCTGAGCTGAAATACAAAGATTTGAATAGCTTTCACTGGTGCCGCTTTCCCCCTAGTGTTTCCCAAAACTAACCCTTGTGAAGTGTGTTATTGCTCATGGTTTTCCTTACTGAGCTTCCCGTAGTCAACATTAGCTTGCTTTAAAAATGTTAGGCAAGAAATCAGGTATGGGTCAGATATTTCACAGAATCCCAGATTGGTTTGGGTTGGAAGGGACCTTAAAGCTCATCCAGTTCCAACCCCTGCCACAGGCAGGGACACCTTCCACGAGAGCAGCTTGCTCCAAGCCCCATCCAACCTGGCCTTGAGCACTGCCAGGGATGGGGCAGCCACAGCTTCTCTGGGCACCCTGTGCCAGCACCTCAGCACCCTCACAGGGAAGAGTATTTAGTGGGTGTGCCAAAGTTGCTATCACAATTAGTTACTGGCCAAATCCATCCATTGGTGTGTGATAAGAGAAAGAGCTGAGACGCTGCAGGTCTTTTTATTAAATATAATGGCCATCCTTGGAAAGATCTTTATATTAAACAGGTTCATAGACATTTATTACTGTATGTGCAGTCTTTCAGTCTTCAGGCTCAAAGGCCTCTGCAGTTCATAAATACCAATCAGCATGTTCCTACCTAAAGGTGATAACACTGGAACAGCACCAAAAGGTTTGAAATGGAATGGAGAATGGCAGACCTGGAGTCAAATTGAAACTTTCTAAGTCACTGGCCAGCACTTTAACCGTAACATCAGTCCTCTTCTCTTTAGGGTTAAGCATTTCCACTTACAAAAAGAGCCAGAGGCTCTTGATTATCCATGCAAAACAGGCCAGGGCTTTGATTTGTGAGGTTTTGTCTGACACACTTTTAAATGGATGAAGCTCAATTTAGATTCCAAAAGAAAATCTAAATTTGATGGTTGAGACATATACCCACTTCTCTTTCTTATCCTGAGGCACCATTCTCCACCCTTCCCTTTTCCTCCTCCAAAAAGTGATACCGCCTAACGCTTTGAACCAAGAAAGCATATTTCAAGATCAGTGTGGAACAATTAAACCAATGATCTGTACGCTTCAAGGAGAAAACTGAGCTGCAGTAGCTCTGCTTTGACAGGTCTTTGGAGGATTTCAAGGAAGTTACACCCACTTCATTCATGATAATCGGCTGTTTAACGCAGAGCAGCTCAGTGTTATGAATGAAAGGGAGCATGTTTTGGCTTGCAGAACAACTCGCAAATCTAATGCTTCACTCGTCAAATAACCAGCCACATTAACAAGAAAAAGAACAAGAAAGGCTGACTTCATTCTTGAAATGAAATTAATGAATGCAAGAGTCAATGGGAAAAAATCATCCCTTGCTTTAGAGATCCAGAAACATTTTACCTCTCCTCACTGTGAATGTGTGAGCCACTGTGGCTGGACAAGCTGGGGGGAAATGTAGCCTCTGAATGGACTTTGATGTGGCTAAGACCAGGCCTTGGTGGGTTTTGTGCATTTGATTAGAACTGAATTGCTGGATTTCTTATCATGTTGGTGGCAAAAGGGAAACAGAAGGAAAGAGAATATAAAGGGTAATAGATGGATCTACAGAAGTAGTAAGTTTTCAGTTGGGTTAGAAGCTGTGGGCTAAGTTGCCCTGCTGATTAGAAGGACGTTGATTTTCATCTAGGAAGCTGGCTTTGTGGAATACCATGATTTCCCCAGGTGTCACACAGCTGTCGGAGCTGCCTTGGGTCAGGTGCCTTTATGCCTTCTGGCAACAGTGGGTTTATAGACTCAGGAGAGCAGGATTCCTGGGAGACTCTTGTAAGCAAATGGAGTTTAGGACATGTTGAATTAAAGGCAGGTGCAAAGATAGTTTAAGGATGTCTTTCTACTTTCCCATATTCACAGTTCATTTGGTAATAAAATAGCTTGCTGGAGGAGCAGTGCGCACATCCATCCTACTGTCTCCTTTACCAGGAGGTGATTTGCCTATGCTTGGGCAGGAAGGAGCATGCTTACTTTGATCAAATAAACACCCACAGGTGGTTGCAAAATGTTTGACATGGAACTAACTGAATGTTTATGAATTGTATCTTTGCAAGAAATGTGTATAATCACTTCCCTTAATGGGTATAATCATTTCCCTTGCTGGTTCTCATCTGGCTTTGGGGTGAAAGTGACAGATGTGATATTTCTCTTTTTAACAGCCTTTTACAAAACATTAATTGTTTTCACAATTTTTCTTCCGAGGGGACTGTATCATCAAGTTTAACTGAGAAATAGATGGTGATAGAGGTTGATTAAGTGATTTTACCAAGAATGGATCAATAGTAAAGACTAGGATTACCTATTTAATCCAAAAACCATTAGAGCAGATCTGTCTTTTGAGCCCAAGAACATCAAAGCATATCTCTCCATCTTAGGGCCTAGAAAACTTCGGGTCTATAGTACTCAGGCACCCCACAGCACTAGAAGCTAGAGCAGTGCTTTCTGTCTTACCTTAATGGATGAGGAACTGGGGTCCACAGTCTCAGAGAATGTCTGTAGCAGAGGTGGTTTGGCTTGGCTGGGCTTTGGGTCTATTTTGACTTGAGTTTATGATCTGCTGTAATAGTAATAATTAATAGTAATTAATAATACTATAAAAATATAGTGTGTATATATTATAGAGTTCTGCTGTAGGTAGAGGTATCATGCACATCCCTTAATACTAAAATTGGTGCATACGTTGAGTATTATGCATGTGTATACGAAAGCGACCTCTCTCCGAGTGAGTTTTACTGAAAAGGAAGCTAAACAAAATCAATTGGAGAAGAGGCAGCTTATTATGAGGATCTTTCCTCTTCGTTCAGCAGCTGAGCGCCTCTGATGGAAGGTGGGAAAACAATCTTTCTCATCCTTTTCACACTAAAACAATGCTCAGGACAATACTCAGCCAAAGGCAGGATCTCAGTACAGCACTTGCTACTTGGAAGTATCAAAGAAAGGGCAGGTTGGCTACAATCCCCTGCCTAGTGCCTCACAGGGGGAAACGGCTGAAGGCGAAGCAAGGTGAAGGTGGACTGGATGGTGCCTAGGAGGGGGTGTGCTGGATCAGTTCTTTGTTTGCTGCGTACAATAAACTAATGTCCTTCTTTCTTCTTCTACTCTATAGAACTCCTGTTTGGGGAAATCAAGAACTGAACAGATCCTTTTCTATTTCCACTCATTTTCAGGGTGAGTGAATTCTCTTGTCTTCACTAGTGCTGTCATGTTCGGTGCAGCTAAGAAGTGTGACTTAAGGTTCAGAGGAAAATCTCTCCTTTTTTAATCTTTGCACTGATAACACTGTGCTTAATTTAGCAGCAGTGAGGCAGAACATTTGGATTTTGTCATCCATTTACCAAACTATTGTTGGCTTCTAATTTCATTGTTCCCCCCTACTGCTCATTCTAGATTTACGTTTTATTGTAGGTGCCAAAAGATAAGTTAATGCCAACTTGATTATTAATTAACTAATACTTTTCTCTGCCCTAAGATGGAAAGCCTTTATCTACTTAACCTATTATTATTTATTACGGCATGGGTACGTCTGAATGCATTTGAGTTCTGCCCCCCTGAGAAACTGGGGCAAGAAGTGATAGCAACAGGATGAAAGAAAGCCAAAAGAATCTTAAACTTGTTATCAAGAAGTATGCCTTAATGTCGGAAGCAGGGCACTCACTTATCTGTATTTTGCAAGCCCCAAGCAATATCACAGTCTCATTGTCAAAAGTCACTGGTAACACACAGTTCTGAGGCTTTGTGGCATGCTCAGCAATGCAAAAATCAATAGAGCACCGGATTTTCAAGAGGCTGTGGGAATTGCTTGGGCATTTTTAAGGTATCTCAACCTAGTTTGCTCAAGCTTAGAAAGAAAAAGCACATCTGGGAGACTTCTAGCCTGCCTGACTTATGCCATGAAGGTGCCTTTTGTAGCCAGATGTTACCAGGAACCTCTGCACTGCTAATAGTATATGTCCCTTCTTCATGAGCTGCCTGCAGACATCTCATCTCAAGTTAGTGTCTTTCCAGCAGGAGGCTTGAATTCAAGATGGAGTTCAGAACTGCCTCCCACTGTGGGAATCATTATTCAAAGTGCCATAAATGCATAGCATTAATGCTAGACCATAGATGTGAATAGGTTTAATTGAATAAATGAAAAGAAAGGAGGAAAATTGGGCTGAACAATGATAATAAGTTTATTGGTGTTGAGATTGGTTACCTCATCCTCTTGAAATTATGATTAGACAGTAAGAATGAGGTAACTGCATATTTTGTGGCACTTGTGAGAATCTTGCCTATGGGCAAAAGTTAACGCTGTGGAAGAAGGAGGTATTATACACACCAGGTAAAGTTCCCACCATGAAGAAACGGTCAGATGCCACATAACAGACAATGCATAAGACTTACAGCAGCATTGTAGAAAACAGTGAATTGACCCAATCAATCCACTTATAATCACCTTTAGAGATTTGAAATACCTCTCTTTGCATTAAGATTAATCCCTCTCTCCTTCTCTATTTAAGTATGCTCTAAAAGTATAGCACATCTAATTGATGTCCCCAAGTGCTATTGCAGATTAAATATTGAACACACATATGCCTACGGTGTAACATAGTGAATAACACATCTGGGTGTAGATAGCATGATAAGATGGCTTGTGAACTGATGAATAACTTGTGTTCATGCTTACAATAAGCATACCAGCTTTGTTCTGCTACTGTTGAATTCCAGGTCCAAGTGCCTTTGACATTTATTAAACCCTGTGCATGAATATGTTGACACCTGTTAATCTGCTGAATTTATTGGCACCCAAATTAGAAGTGTACCAAGGTTTCAGAAATCTTATAACTACCCTTGGCTTCAGTGGGATTAATCTGTGTGAATAATGGGCTATTTTTAGGCAGGGGGAGTAAAGGAGATCAGTGACAGAATCAGGGAGTTATGGGGGAAAAAATCTACATTTCCTTCCCCAAAAAGGGGAGTCTTCTACCCCCACACCATTTTCCCCCCATGCTTAACAGAATATGTCTTTCTTGAGCTTTCACATAGCAAAATGCAGAGCTTTAAAGGCTGGATTTGACCAGGTGAAGGAAGAGTAGTAGGCAGCAGCAGCAGCAGCAGCAGTCTCAGGAGCACCTTCCTTTCATCAAGGAGTTCATGTGGTCACCTCAGATGTGGGACACCCCGGTTCAATTACCTCCCCCTACCTTAAGGAAATTTGAACCACATCCAGCATGCAGGAACGTGTGCCAAGCTCCAGCCTCCAACGCTGTTCCAGTTTGCATGAATAACTAAGTATTGACAGAGGCTACGTCTTAAGGCGGGTATTCACCTTCCTACCTCCTCCAGTGATTGTACTAATGATTTGACTAGTGAATTGTTTTATGTCAGTGACTATTTATATTGAGATCACAGCTTGGAGGACTGTTTGTGCATTTTAATTGCTGACTGTTTAATGCAGAATGTATACATAGTCCTGGAAGCAGGGATGGGAGCCCAGGCTTCCTCTTTGCTAGGTGAGTGCTGTAGGCAGCATAACAGGGAGCTGTGCTCCATCTTCCAGCACGCTGGGTCCTGCTGAGCTCTGTCCTAGGTTACATGCTCTTCTAGGGACTTAACTCTCTTTCTTTAGGTCTGTGCTCTTTCCTAGGCACCTATCCTTTTTCCCTAAGCCTGTGCTCTTTTGCAGAGATCTATGCTCTTTCTCTAGGCATTGTTCTGCTGAGGATCAGCTGAGCAGGCTAAAGTAGTATTGAGCATCATTGTTATTAGTGTATTTACAACATCAGAGAAAGCAGAGTTCTGCGCTGCAGTAGCTATTGAGGCATACAATTATTAGCACATTTGCAGTATCTGAGAGAGGAGGCCTGTGGCTGTGATAGCTGGACAAGACTCACAATTATTAGCATCTTAATAGCATCAGAAAGGTTTAGAGACTGCAGTAGCTATGGAAGCTCATGATTACTAGCGCATTTGCAGTAGGAGTGAGGCAAGGCTCATGATGTTTATTATATTGCTCATCAGTCTGTGTCCTGATACTGCTCAGCCATGCATGCTAGGAACAGCTTATCCATAGTACTCAGAGAACGGTGTGCCAAAATCCTCTTGTAGTCCATCAGCAAGGCTGTCGAAGGACCTCACAAGGCTATAAAAGGAACAAAACTATATTTGTATCTGTCTCTCCTGTTTCCAACAGGCAGGGATATTCAGCATGATTAAAGTGTTGGGCTTTGTAGGAGGTTGAGAACCTAACAAAGGGACTTGGTGACACGAGATGGGCTCTCAGGAGAGATTGTCTAAAGGAGTTCTTCCTCTGAGATGTTCACATGCCTGCATTCTGGATGTCACGTGCCAAACACAGTCCATCTAATAGACCAAGGGTCAGCATTTCAATGCTTTCAGCAAGTAGTATGTAGTTTTGGGTTGTTTTATCTCATTCCTTGCCTGTGTTTGTGGCAGAGGAAACAGGATAGAAGTGCCACACATGCGTTTTACACTCTAGGTTTCTAGTGAAATAGTCTCTCTTGGCCATAGAACGGTCCTCATGAAGCGGTTGATGCGTTAAACTTTGTGCCTTTCTTGTTTCTTAGTGAGTATTCCAGTATCCTTAAGTGGAAGTAGGTATTGAGAGGATAAATGTATTTGATACAAAAGATGTCAGGTATGGGTGTGGAACACCAGATACCTTCACTGATAAAGATCCTCCTATTCAGCTGTCTTTTAAATGAAACACAGATGTCCTGAGTTCCAGCCTATGCCTGAACCACAAGACTGAAGGGAGGAGAGAGTATATGTTTATTTGAGCCCCTTGTTATATTGCTGGCAATGTATCACTAGTTTCCATTCCTATTTTTTGTTCTCTTAGCAATCCATTCGCTATTGCCCTTTTCTTCCTCACTCAGCCAGTAATCAACACACTCCACAACACAATGGGTTCCTTTTTGCGGTGAATCCCCTACTTGATGCAAACATTTGCTGGCCTCATTTCTTTGGGATATGTTTCAATGGGAAGAAGAGGGGAAAGTATTCCTTGTTCCTAGTGAAAAATTGCACTGGCAGCCTGGGTTATTTTGTCGGACGTGTGGCTTTAAGTGACGCCTTTGCCATCTGTTCTGTCTGCTAATTATGAATGCAAAACAAACGTAGCTCACAATTGCTTCATTTAGAATAAGGGAGATGGCAGTGACCAAAATAGTTTTATTTTGGTGTCAGATGCTCTTTTTATTTCTCCTGTCTCTTCCTAATCTAAAGCAGGTCTGAAAGTACTTCTCCCTCTTTCAGTCTGCAGCAATAGACACTGCTGTGACAAAGGAGACCATCTCCTACAGGTTCATCCATTAGGCCCTTTCATGGAGCAGTCCCACATGAGCGAGGAAAGGAAAAAGGCTCCGTTTCTTGACCTGTGAGGCTTCAATTATGCTGGTCTTAGGTCTGCAAGTATCTCAAAGAGAGACATGAGGATACCTCCAGAAAGCTAGACAGCAGTGCATGAACAGCTTTCTCAGTCTGTTCCATCCCTGTTTCCTCTTACTGGAGGCAAATGCTTTGTTGCCATACTGGAATAGCATGGGGGTCACGAATGATGCAGTTTCCTGTTGCTGTGTCCAGCAGCTGAAGATACGTTGGCTTTTGGTTGTGGGCCCTGAGGCTTTCCTCCTTGAGTGAGCCTACAAAGGTAGGTGATCCATCTCCTTCAGTAACTGTGCAGAAACTGGGTTATAACAATCAGTCCTCCTCCATTTGCTAGATGCTGCTTGCCATTTAGCATTTCCTAAGTTGCTGATGAGTTCCTTCGAGCCAGGGCTGTGGCAAATCATAGACATATCACTAGCAGCACAGCCACGGATTGAGGTGACCTAGATTTAGAAAATGAAGATGAGATAAAATGCTCGCTGCACTCTGTTCTAAGGGGACATGCAGCCAAAAAAGCTGAAGTGGTGGAACGATTTCTCTTTAAGTCATTTAAGTCTGAAAGAGACAGGTTTTTTCCCTATTAGGTGGCTCTATGATAAGTGCTAAGCTGTGACCCCATTTGTTCCACTTGTCCCTTTTCTAGTCTCAGGCCAAAGAGGAGATGGACAAGAGGCCATCAGGGTCATGTTCACCCTTTCCAGTAAGACGGGCTCCTTTCAGATATACATCTACTTTGCTTCAAGTCTCCTTGCTTTGGTACTGAGCATGTAGACACATGT